ACGAACGCGGCCGAACACAGCTTGCAGTCTACGAACTACGAAACTCGGCCGCGCGCAGCAGCTGAGCGCAGCTGTATGAAGTTGGCCCCGACACCACTGCGAATTCGATTCTCGATTCGCCCATTACCAGTCGTAACATTCGGTTATGGGTATATCATTAAGCAGTCGCGAAGATGAATTTCTGGAAGCAAAGGCAGCTCGCACCATCTGCCAAACGCAGCTCGAATCCCTCGGGAGACACCGAATGGTATCAACACTTTTAAGATATAGATTAGTATCGGAGACTTGTCTGACTTGCGCGTAATTAATATAATATCTATATTGTTGTTGAGTCATATTTGTCAATAAATCTGTTCCTAGACAGGACAAAAGGGACTTGTTAAGTCTGATATCGCAATTTTTAAAATGTTGGGTAGCGCGTGTCGGGAAAATGCACGTTGTGCGTTTTGATAAGTAACCGGTTCTTTTTTGCTGCACTCCTTGTACAATGAGACATATTAATGACCATGGACATAAAGCCCGATCTACAATAGATGGAGTAAGGAGTAGGAGTAAGAAATAAGCAGTAAGTAAATGGACCAATCACAATCGATTATTCTTGAATCGTGAGAATGGAATTGGCCAATTTGCTCACTACTTTTTTATTTCTTACTCCTACTTCTACTCCTTACTCCATCTATTGTAGATCGAATCTAAGAATATAAGGACGGAACGAAAAGTACGATTATAGACGAGGCACTGTGAAGCCTAAGTCCCGATCTATAATAGGTGATTTAAGCTTTAAGAAATTGATCAATAACAGTCAAATTTGAGGAGAATAATCGACTGTGATTGGTCAATTTCTTAAGGCTTACTACATCTGTTGTAGATCGGAATTAAAGGGCAAGAGGGGTCGCGGCCATGTTGGTATAGAAATTTTGTATAAAAACAGCAACCGTCATCATTTTAGTATATCAACTCCATTACAATCATTCCCTTCACCCTTTGGGCTTCACCCCCGCAACAATTCGCTCCGTCCATGTATTCTTACGTCCATGTTAATGACGTCTTTATTGAGTGTAAAAAGGTGTTGATGTGCGTGCCACCATAGGCTCTCGGATGCGTATTTATCCGAGGGGACCGAATCTATAATACACGTTGAGAGCCTAGAGGTGGCGTACACGTTACACTTTTCTACACTTAAAAAGGACACTATTAATACACTTAATCGTACTAGGTTGCACCAGTTCTCTTCTCTTCTTTCTTCCATCAAATGTGCACCTGTTTCTTTTTAAGTAAGCAAGTGTTTATAACTCAGCAAAAAAGATGTACGGTTTAAACGCTTTTCTCTATATATTCCAGGTCGCAACCGATCCAAAGATCCAAAGAATGTTTTCGAAAAATTCCAGAAAATAAATAAACTATCAGCTACGTAATTCAAACTGCATCGAGTAAAAAGTATTTAAACCGTTTTGAAATCAAGAGTATATATCTTGTTTTCGTTAGAATTTGGCGCCCTCTTCACGTCTTAATAGTGTTTTCTCGAAAACATCACGCGTAATATGTTTCTCTTTGTGAGACGAGCCAATGTTGCTCGGCCGTATTTGAGAAATAAAGAGAAAAAGAAGAAACCTCTTAAAATTTCAGTCCGAAGGCGCGGGGCCTTCGTTCGCCATTAGACACAGTTACGACACATTATCGACTCCTAAAATTTCTAGGCTCCAAAATCGCGGCCGGTCCGGACCGTTGGTTCGCCAATGGGGAAGCGCACAACCTCGGTCGATCGTACCACCGACTAGTGAGTCAAGGGCTTAGCCTTAGCCGGCCGTTATGCAACTGCTGCTTCGTGTTTAGCCAATGATCGCACGGCCACAGCTTAACAAAGGCCCCGGGACCCGTAATTATCGGTGAGTATCGTTAGCGAATTAATCGCGTATCGGCTGAAAAGAAATATCGTAGCGTAATTGCGTCTTTGACCTTTCGAGCGGAGCAAACGATGCGATCGTCGGGCGGCGATGGTAAATAAAACGGAAACGGAAAATCGAGTCGAGCTTATCGCAAAAAAACGTGGAACTGCAAAATGCGCACGGCATTGCGCGAAAATATATGTAAATCATGCAAATCAGCCTGAAAGTGCAATTAGACTCGAAACAAACAAAAGTATATAAAAGAGTCTGTCTGTCTCTCGCGTCGTCTCATCTCGTGCGCGCACAATCGATTCTTTTCTTTTGTTGATTCAACTCGAGCCAAGAAGACTAAATACGCGAACGTCACGCTCGGGCTTCGATCTAAGCTGGGAAAGACGATAGAATAGCCGCCAGGTGAAAGAAGCGGATCGGGTTGCGTCGAAAAAAGAGGCATCGGGCTGCCCGAAAAATCGGTGAGGTCGACCGAATTCATCAGGTCGCTCGAAATCTCTCGGATTACTCGGACACCTCGTCCGTCTCGAGCAGCTCGAGCGAAACGCCGGGTTATCTGAACGATGTCACGACCGTCTGCGCCGCATATAATACAGCGCAACTGTAATAATACGTGTGCGGTGTGTTAGTGGGCATACTTGTTGCGAGCCTCGCGCTTGCTTGCTTGCTTGCACGAGCTCTGATCAGTTCGCGAGTTAATTTTTCCTCAAGAAAAATATTGAAACAGCGGTAGTTCTGGAAAATTAGCAGTTAAAAATGTATACCTAAACTTTCACAAGAGAGAATTGACGCAAGGATATATTGAGAAAAAAAATATCGGAAAAATATTTATTCGGCTAATTAATTCAGGTATTAATAACACGCTTACTTATAAATCCAAGTTCTTTTATTTAAATAGAATAAACAATCGTGACAATGTATTATCAGTATTATCGAATAAGTATTTTTCACTTCTTAAATATTTTTCTCTCAGTGTAGGAAAATCTCATGCGATTTAATGAAAGATGTCCAATTAATCATTAAAATATTGAGTGTTGGCAATGTAAAAACTATGAAATTGACGCGTTTAATTTATTTATCGTATCCGCGGAAGTGGAAGCTTCGATGAATCAGCTCGACTCGCGAGCCTACTCTTGAACGGTAAATGGTATAAGAAAAAATACACAGTCACACGCAATAATTAATTGATACCCTCGATAGGGAAAAGGATGCGGTTTCATTAGTCATAAATCTGTCACGAGCACGGCTGATATATTACGCAAATATCAATGATGATGGTTTCATCCTTAGATCGGTTGTAATCTCTCTTCAGAGGAAACTTCATGCAAGATGTAATTACTGAGTTACATGTCGTTGAAAATTAAACAGTTGCGATGAGCAACTTTCGAGAGAAATAACAGGAATAGAAGTGTCCGCATTGATTGTCAATACTGCCTTAGAAAACGTTTAATTGTCAGGCTGTTTAGCGCCGAGATTAAAGTCTCACGGCGGATATTGCGAACAAATATTCGCGAAGACGTAAGACTCCTTCGGAAACAAAGTCAAACCTGTTTGGGATATTTTACACACAACAATCACCGTCACTACGCACATTATCTTCTTCTCTGACATTTACAATTCGAGAACACGAAACATTATGAACATTAAAAATTGCACTGAGGGGATACTGTGTCATGTGAAATTTTACTCATTTTACACACACGTGTGAGAGCTTCTGTGTTGAAACTCAACATAGAATCTTTTACACACACGTGTGTGTAATGGAATCAAATTTCAAGTTATATAACTTGCTTATATCTAGCAGTACATTCCGAACATAACAATAAATTGAGTTATAGACGTAGAGATTTGCAACATTGCCTCGTATTTCGCAAGGTGATTGGTTGCTACCGAAGAGCGCTGGCGTATCGAAACCCGTCAAGAACGAGTTTTTTTTTAATGTTACGAGAACTCTTCTCATTAAGCCGACGATGTAATGTCACTTTCGAAAACGCCGTCCGCGTACCTCCCTCCCTCCTTCGTTTCGTAGATTGTCGCGGAAACACATGTGTCATCTATAAAACACGACGACCTTTATGAGATCCACCCTCCCTACACCGCCCGCAAATCTCCCAATAATCCTGAGTGCTTTTCCAAATATTTCACCGGGTCTTGCGCGCGTGGGTTTCCTTTCACGAACGCGCGCGATCCGCAAACAAGGCCGATCTACGTTCGATATTTACCGATCGATTTTTCCGCGGGAAAAAAGTAGGAATCCCGATAAAAAACAATCTTTCTGGACGGCCCCTTCTGTCTGCCGTCATCTATTTACCTAAATTATACGGGACGTATAATCGTCCTCGTACCTTTTTATTTTGGATAAGAGGACACAATGTACATAAAATGTGTACGCATTTACTCGAGTCGAGTTACTTAAAGGACTAGGATCGTGTTATTAATCTAAGATATTTTATTGTTCCTATCCGGCAAGGAAGGCTCTGTATAAAGTCTCCTTTGGCGACAATAAAATCGCCATTTTCCCTTAATACCAAGCAGTTATCTTTAATTTTACGGCCCGAGAGAACAATAAAACTGTATATTATTCTGCGAGCAAAATGTGAGTGTTTTCTATGAATTTTCAAAACTCTCATTTTAACTAATTAAAATTTTAATTTTATCTCCCACTAAAGTAATTATATTCAAGAAACTCGATATAAAATGTATTAATATTTAATATAATTTATTAATATATAATTTATTAATATAATATTAATTAATTTATTACATATTAATATAATTTATTAATATGTAATAAAAACTGTCAACTTTTTCGCCACGTATGTCACAATGACAAGAATTACGTTTTTCTTTCTTACTTATCCTTTTTATTGCTCTATGATATTTTTGCTTTCTATTTGCTCAAGTGTTTAAATATTGCCATCCGCGTAATTTTTCTCGTTTTCTAATCCTGCCACTCGCACACCGATACACGCTTTATCGCCGGGGAAGAAAAATAAAATATACGATTGCAAATATCGCTGGCATGCTCCGGCATGCGACGGCGATGTTGTTATCAATCATCGATACACAAGGGAGAGACGAGAGAGAAATCTGTCTTCTTACCTGCTCGACGGTTTTCTGAAGGATCTGACATTTGTCAGTCTTGCCAGAGCTCATGTCCGTGGCGGAAATCAGCTCGGCAAGCTCATCGATATACAAGTTCTCTTGGGTCCGTCGTCTTTTTTCGTTAAGGCACTTGTTACTGCAAACAATCGAAATGGAGAATTAACGCACTTACGACGCCAGACGAACAACGCTTTAAAATTCGATCGCCGGTATTTTCGTGCGTGATATATAAAACCGTCTAAAAGAGAATCAAGTTCGAGAAAAATGTTGTACTTCATTATAATGGAAATTAATATCGAGAAACATGCATAATAATCGATGCACTGGCAGAAGAAATATATAAGAAATGAACAATATTTATTCGGCAGATATTAACAACACAATTTTTTACTTATATCATAATTTAAAATATTTTTCAATATTAAGTAATAGATTAAATATACGTTTTCTTAGAACCCTAAGCTTTTCATGAAAGCAATTATTTATTCTATATTTAAATAAAAGAATTTAGATTAAAATAAATATGTTGTTAGTACCCACACTCCGAATATAAATATTTCTTATTTTCTAGATATTCCTTCTTTCACATAGTATAATTATATATAAGAGTATCAAGAAGATATTGTTTTAATAATAAATTAGAATGTTCGTTCTACAGGAATATGTGAACTTGCAAAACGCTACTGAACTCGAGACAATAGGGAGAGAATAATCCCGTTATTAACTTTAGCTGTTACCTGGTCGTCAATTCGCGCTTTGTCGCAAATAAGAGACCGGCGTTCTTGTTTCACGAAGAAAATCCTCACACTCGTTAATTACTCAAGTAAACCTGATAAACACACGGGACACACGTCGCTATTACTTTTACGGCCATGATTTCGCCAGTTTTATCGCGCCCGAGAATGCCCTCACTCGTGATAAGCAAAGTGGCCGGTCCGTCCAAGAATGCGTAACACACTCGTAAATCCGCGTTCCGACACAGCGCGGTGCGCCGTTCGCGTTGCGCTTTTAACACTTTGTTGCACAATTTTAATAACAGATCCCGCTTAACCGACTTCCAGCTGCCCGGAAACGACGCCCGAAACAGCGGCCGCTAACTCTCGCAAATTTATCGAGCGCATCGCGAGTTTGTGTCTCGGCGATGAAAAAAGAAAGAGAAAAAAAAAGGAAAAGAATAGTCGAGATCGAAATTTCGCGGAGAGCAAACACGCGCCTCGAATGCGTGCGAGAGAACTTGTGTGCTGGTAAGTCTCGTTACTCAATCGCGACTCTCCCGTTTCAGTTGAGAAAACATCGCGGCGCCCGATTGATCGTTAATCACGATCGCGACGAATTCGTCGTTGAGATAAGACGCGGATTCTCCGCTGCATCCCGCAAATATCGCGTCGCGAGATTCCAACGAAAGAGAAGAGAGATTCGGCAATTTTTAACGAAGGAAAATCATTAGATGCTGAATCAACTTCAGTCCCGTTGAAACGCTCGGTTGACCTTGTGTGACGTCACGCCGGCTCGGCAGTGACTCTCACTTTGCTAACGCTACTCTGCTATTTTAATACCCCAATACGGCTGTCTTACTACCTCCTCGCCGCGTGTGTGCTCCTCGCGACAAAGTGAGCGAACGAACGTCGCCAGATTGAAACCAAGAGCGATGCAAGACACGGCGAGCTCGATTTTGCGCGTTGCAAAAGTCAGAGAGACGAATCTCGCGCGGGGAAATTGTTATTTTCCTGACTAAACGGGATATTGAAAAATTCGCCACGAAACTCTTACTTTTAACACGTACGATTTTCCTCACTTTGATTTTCCTCTACGATTACTAATTAATCATTCAGTCGTAACGACGTAGAAAATGTCAACTCTCTATTAGAGAAGAAATTCGTTTGATTTAGCTTTTTGATACTTTTATATGTGATAACAGTTTCATTTTACGAATGTTTCGCAAAATTTAGAAACGCAAGTCGGGCCACTCTTCCGCAAGTTTGTTAATATAATAAGGACAATTGTAAGAATAACGATTGAATTTTCTGGATGTTGAGTGCAAACGCAAATAAAGATGCAATTGACGCATATAATTTCGTGAAACTTCATTGGGGCGCGACATTAAACAAATATTACTTTGATATTAAAGTCTGCTCAATCGGTGGCGAACGCTCAAAAACTCACGCGTTTATGTTTGCCATTAATAATTCGATCGGAACGATAAGCTCTTTAGCAAATTGGACGGGAACGGATTGCGGCATGGCTGCTGGCGTGCACGCATCGTCGAGCATTTAAATCAGGGGTTCCCAAACTTTTAGATCTCGCGCTATGCTTGACACTTCGGACAAGACCCGTTGAACAAAGATTCAACAAGAAATTAATATTCCAACCCAGAACTGTCGTCCTCAGTCTCGCCAAATCTGCCGAGTTTCCTCGAGCTTTGCGAAGCAGAGTTCCTTTTTTTCCCTGAAGGACGTTATTCGATAATTATGAGTTATCAGCGCTCCACCAACATATCTTTCTAGAATTTTTTATTTTGCTCACGTTAAGTCAATTTCATAATTGTACCGACATTAGAGAAAAAATCTAAATTTTCCTAAGTAAGGAATGAACCTGAACACTCACGACGTGCAATTTAAACCTTAACTTCAAATATATCACGACTTTTCTCCCGTTTGCTGATACCTCCGGTCTGAGAACCAATGCTTTAAATATCGACATTGGAGTTTCGATATTTGCCCTCCGTTAGCTTGCGTTCGATAGATATTGTGATTATTCTCATAAATAATACCGCTAATTACCGATGCCGGCGCAAATCGAGTCACGTAGTAATGAAAGGTCAAGTTATATAATAAAAAAAGGAGGATTCGAGAGAGTATTGCGTGCTTTTCATTATCTATATAAACGTAATTTAACGTTATCGTTATTATAATTTCTGTCCTGTCGCGACGTGACAGATAAATGAACTCCTCCGATAAATGAAATTGTATGACGCAGATACGCGACGTAGATCACTTCTTTCTAGAGAGTGCCGCGTTCAATGCCAAAACGTACAGAACGAAACGCGAGTACTTATCGCTCACTATACCGCCCAAATTGCGGATCCGAGCTCATCGTATCTTGAAGCGCGACAAACGGCAGGAAATTGTACTCACATCTGCGACTGAGGCTTCGCATCGGATTTCTTTCTTTTCTTCGTAATGCTGCCAGTAATCGCACTCATTTTGACCCACAACTGCGGGTCTTGCAGTTCACACGGGCCAGGCCTGCAACACAAGAGCGAAATTCGCGATTATAGGAACACAGTACAAACGCGCGTCAAAAGCAATGTTTCAGTACAATAGTCTCAGTAATTGCAACAGTTTCAAATACAATTCTAACGATGCATTTTGCACCTGCTTTGCGAAATTAAATAAGTTCAAGGAAATATGCATAGAAATTGGCTCACACCGTTTAAATGTACTTTCCGAATTTCTTGGAGCGAAATTTCACTGTAAGAAATAGAGAAATCACTGTAAGTGGCCACCGAGTCACTCGAATTCGATCGGTTTATTATTCGTATAGATTAAATTCTCCATTTTGAATCATCGAGTAAATATTTTCACTCGAAATCGAAAAGTGAATCTGGTGTATACTCCATCGTTGCATGAACATATTTATTTCAATCGACTGAAATATTCAGTCATATCGAGCCACTGTTTCAGCTAAAGTGAAATATTCACTCTCCCGAATAGCGATATTTTTACCACAGCTTCGAGTGAAAATACCGCCACTTTTCACTCGTTTTGAAGGGATTCCACTTCAAGAAATTTAGAGAGTAGGATACATGTTTAATGCGCGCACGCGACTGATAGGAAAAAATTGATCGCCTAACAGAAGATTCTTCAAAAATGCTCGATTCAATATCGCCGTCTAGATATCGACACCGAAATAACATTGATAACACAATAATCAGATCTACTCGAACAGTACCGAAAAGAAGAAATAAAATACCGGTTTTTCATAGAGCATCTGATATCTGATATCTTTCAGATATCTGAAATATCCCTATCACGTATGTCATTGCTTCTACTGAAGATAACTTCCACGGAATTTTATCTCATTGTGAAGACGAACCGCCTTCGAATAATTTGCTGGTGCTTAACTAATTTGATGCACGTGGAGGAAAGCCGCGCGTGCGGTCCCTCTAATCTCTCCCGCCTCCCTCCTCTGCCATGCGTATCCAGATTCTCCGTCACGTTACATGCACACACAACGCATATTCGCGTACGTGCCGCCACTGACGTTTCTCTCCTGCTCTTCATACTCCCGTGGCTCGTTTGCCTCGAATCGATGAAAGCACCTCCGAGACGAAGCACATTATGCTCGGTAAACGGAGTCGATAAAAAGGACTTTATGAACAGTGAGCTCTCGGCATTATTGAAAGGAAATCGACGATACCCACGCGTGCCCGCGCGCTATCGACAAAGCGCGCCATCCGGAAAAATTGCCGAGTATCGAATTGTTCGGCGATCGAAGACAATACGACTTACGTACTTGCGCGAGTACCGGTTATACAAAAGTAGCTCTTTACCTAAGGGAATATTTGGGGAATATAATAAACTCGAAAAATGCGTCAAAAATCAAATCCAAAATTTATACTTCACGTCCAAAAGGACTCTACTTGTCTGCGAAAGTAAATTTCTTTTGCCACGAAAAAGAATTTTATTACACGTAATGTAATTTCGATCTTTTGTATACCTGAAATATAATAATACATATAATAAAACACTTTTAGACTGTGTCACAAATGATTGAAGAGTGTCATGAAACGACAAAAGGGCGGACGCAGTTTCACATTGCGAACTTTTCCCAAATATGTCTCGCATGGTTCTGATCAAGAACCATTGATACCAATCAATTATCTAGCTTGTATAAGGTTACGTTATCAGGTCTTGATTATTAATAAAATCCTAGAAATTAATAATCCTTATTATTAATGTATAAAACACTATGTCTGTCTGTATATTCCTAAATCTTTTTGACCAATCTGGACCAAATTTTGCATAGTTACTCTCTAGGACGCTGCGGAAAATATGGGTTACTGTACAATCTGGACACTTCATCTTGAACATTCCCCTAATTTCAACCTCTTGACACTTTGTAATAACCGAACAACGCCGGATAGTTTTGGCTAGTTATTAATAAGATCCTGATTGCCATCCTGCCTCGCACGATTTATCAGATCAACCCGATAACATCACCTTATACCGATTCCTTAGCCTGATCAGGACAATGATGAGGTTCTAATAGAGTTCGTGTACTTTCCAAATGCCTTCTGAGCTTTCGCATATCATACAACCTCGAAACATCTACCTTATCGCGCGAGATCATTTCCTCTTTCCGCGGCGAAATCGGATTCACCGGCTACCACCCGCTATAAATACGCGCGACGCAAGAGCGACTCGAAATAATGCCTCGGACTAACCGCGATGTAATGCAGCGTGCGATTCCTTGAGATCGTTTTTTTTTCTGTCGCTCTCTCTCTCTCTATCTCTCCCCCTTCTCCTCTTTCTTTCTCTCTCTCTCCCTCTCTCTCTCTTTCCCTCCGTCGGTCAGTTTATCATCGCGCGAATGGCGCGGCGAGGCCTCCCTTCGCCCTTTGTGTATGCCTTTTCGGTTCGTTTCCCCCGAATCGATAAAATTCCTTTATGGCGACACACGCCGGCAGCGTTATAATAAACCGGGGAATCGGCCGCTAACGAAGTGCCTAAAGATAATACCCGCGCGCGCAATAATAATAAATGCTGCGGAGCACTACAGGGTGTGTATGTCTATGTACCGGAAGTTAGCCTGTGTCCTATACCGGACGCGTGTCTCTGCACTTTCCCTCTATTGCGTTCCCTGCAAGTTGCTGAATCTCGATATCGAGTAGCTCGACAATTAGATTTCATCCTGAATCGTCAAAACACAAAACCTCGACCTGCTCCTCGTGTTCCTCAAGAATCCTCCGATTCTCGATACCACTCGACCAGCGCGCCATGTCTCGTCGTCATTGAAATAACGAGCGCTTCAGACCGCTTTGTCTTATTGTCCGTGACTGAAAGATCATGGTTAATTCTAGGACACTCTGTATACATGTCAAGCAGAACAAACAGAGTCATATTGTATCAAGGCGCTCGTCTGAGATAATAGCTTACGCAGCTTTATACGCGAAATTACTTGTTTGCTCCGCTTTACACAATCGCGATAGACGTAGATTCCACGTGAATATCTTAAGCCCGTATCAGACTACGCATGTCGAGTGGATTACGATTAGCAACTACTTTTTTACCAATCGGAGCAGAGCAGCCACCAATTGAGATTAGTGGCTGCCGATTGAACAACGCTCTCTATTTTAGAGTCGTCAATCCGACAAACGATCACTGATGTGATACGAGCTTTATAGCGCGCCGACGCGAGTGAATAATCGATTCACCCGCGATTTCCCGCGAACTGCAAATCGTGCGTAGCTATCGCGAGCGATAATAGAGGCCACGAGAGGCGACTTGTTCTATTCCCTATAAGATACCGCTCCCTATAAGATGCAATGAAAAACAAGAGGCTTAAGTAAAAGCCTCTTGAATTTTGATGTACTACACTGAGGGAAATGTCTGATGATACTAACCAGAATTCTATTTAGGTTTATCAAACGGTATGGTGAATAATCGTGTAACAAGATATTTAGTCAATGATACCAAACTATCTGGTGAGCGCATTGTCTAAGTAGTATTACAGTAATGCTTAAATATGTTTACCAAATCGTCTGGTACAGCATATAATTGATAATTGAAATAATAAAATCTAACCATATTATATATATATATATATATATATATATATATATATATATATATATAATTTTCATATACTTACTGTATATAATCTTCATATATTTACTTCTAAATTCGTCGACATATTTTAAGAAATTTCATTCTTCCAAATATCTGACGGTTTCAGCTTCTACTCTTTTATAGCACCGACGTCTTTACAAATTAATATAGATGAAAAAGGAAACATCGTAGCGAATAACAATTAACTATCGCGTCAATAGTATCACACGTCTAGATAAAATTACTAAACTGTCTAAATATCTACAACTAAATGTCTCGGTATTGACTGCCAGATGCGTCGAAGCATCGTAATCAGAATATTGAATATGTGAACCACATATCGCATATAAATTCACCATATTACTTTCATAAGACGAGTATAGTGTCACTCATCAAGCTATTTCTCTCAGTGTACTTGATTTTAAAATATCACTGATATGATAGTAGCTATATTGTTTATTTTAGAATAAACAGAGCACCGTCTATTATATTTAATGTAATGGCTAAACAGGGACTAAATCACAAACCTGATTCCACATTTCAGTGAATAAGCAGCCGAAACGGACCAGTGTAACCAGCTAGAAAATTTTATCTAGCCTTGTATACACACCACTTGGCTTTTGACTCACAGGTCGGCTGGTTACATTTTTACTCGGATGGATACACTATTCACAGCGCGCTCGGGCGAACGCGTTACCCCCCTGGCGCGACTCGTCGTAGTCGTTCGTTAATTTATCGGCGTGCCGATAACGTGATTAACGAGTTGCAATGAGCTCGGGTTACTGTATCAGAAATTAGACACATTACATCACACCTTTCTGGTCAACGCGCGCGCATTTTTACTTTTCAGTCGCTCGGATCCCACGGAATAACGAGACCGTTCTTCCTCGACTGGACTCTGCACAAGCTCTTCGTTACGTTTGGATCGAGCGAAGACGAATGCGACTCAAGTGCGCACACGGTGCCTCCTCGCACTTCGCACTCCTTTCAAGAATATGATAATGTTACGCCCATACGTGATTACGCTCTCCTTATCGTCCTCGCTGGTTTATCGCGAATGGAGAACACACGAGACGTCAGGACGGCAAAATAATTATTTTCTTTCTCATTTAATTCAACCGGTCGTGTGTAAAATGGTGTCTGCACTGGGAATTAAATTTCGTAAAGACGAATTAGCGCGCGCGTAGGAAGGCAAAAAGATTCCGCGAGTTCCGCCTCTCCCTCCCCCCTTCTCTTCCTCGTTCCGCGTACGCGCAGTGTGTGACAGCCTTTGAAATCCCGCACAAGCGGCACTACTGTGCACACACGCATACCAACTAAACGCATTCATTTTTCTTTAATGTCGCACGTTACCTCGCTGGAATTAACACCTGATTTGTGCGCCACGCTTTTTAACAAGATTTAATTCACGGTTT